TATGAGCTACGTGACTTGGGAGGGGCCAGTCACGGCTTAGTAGAAAAGCCAGCCATGAGCCGTGTCATGCTTTAACAAGAAGAACAACGACACGTTGCACAAACGGGAGTGTGACATGTTCAGCCAGATGGTAGGAGCGTTCATACTTTGCTCGAATCGCGTGATCCAAGCGATTGGATCGCGCGACGAAGCAAACGTCCAACCCATGTTAGAACATGTCATGCTGTGTTGGTGAGAGGGCGCAGGACAGTAAAAGCTACGTACGGAGCTCAGCTCTACTGGATACTGGTCCCTCCAAAGGCACATGGCCCCCTATGTGTGTTGAATTATACCGTGGAAACTTGATATTACTCTGTGATGCTCTTGAGTGCTACTCCAATTAGCCATCTCTTGCTTAGGTACTGCCTATTTACAAATCAACAGCAAACAAGCCGTCGCTTTCTCGTTCGCCTCTCGAATAGGTAATAAATCCCATTTGTATGACAAGGTGACACCTATATGAAGTTCGTTGCAGGAGGTGCCCCAGCACCAGCTCCAACTCCAAGCGGATACAAGAAGACGGTAATATTCATTAAGAAGGACACTAATCAGGGCCAGAATCTCTTCATCCGTGGCGGTGTCAGTCATGCTAACAAAGACGGTGAGGTAGCGGATCGATTAAAAGTGCAGTCATGATCCCGCAAACGATAGGCGTGTGAAAGGGCGTGGCTTGGAGTGCGGCCAAGGCGGATTTCCCACCAAATGTAGCGGTGTCAAGGGTGGCATCATTGGTGGAAAAAGGCGCCTTGGCATCGCTTCCAATCCACCCCGCCTCACTTGTCCTATCACTTTCAGGGATCATGACTGTAAATAGAAAAAAACGACGTGATTTTCAGTCTGCTCCCCTGGTCCCTACCAACAGGGCACTGATTCGTGCGCTGTTCCTATTGTGCACAACACGACTGTACCATTCGTCTATGCCGAGTATCTATCATGGAGTCAAGGCGATCAGTACCTCGATTTCGAGGGGGCTGAAGAACGACAAGGTCAGATTTTGTTCCAGAATCCATCGTTCGCTTTGATTTTATTCTACAACGGCCCGCAAATCTGCACCCAGCTCTAGTCCAAGGAGTATATTGAATTTCTGTACACACGCAATTCGGCACACTATTGCCTAGGAAGGTTCTGGTGCGAGTTGCGCTCACGCGATTCTGATTGCAAAGGCGCTGCCGCGGCAACTGGGAAGTGTAGGAAAAATATCATCCACATTTCCTTCCTTTTGAGCATTCTTATTGTCTACTCCAAGCTCAGGCATTCTTCTTTGCAGGAACCCACGATGGCGATGTACCCTTTGGAACTCCACTGGCCTATTCAACAAACGACAAAACTGCGGTGGAATATCAACCTTATAACAAATACGGAGCTGGTTACTGGATGGTGCAATTACTTGTCGATTGCAATAAGGCCGATCAGGGCTGGTTTGAGCTGAAGGTGGGCGGGGTTTCTCATAGAAATGACTATATTTTTCTAAAGTGCTATTTTAGGGATACCTTTCGCCATCAGTTGGTTGGGAACAAGACATCAGTCAGAAGACGTGCACCGGTGCAGTAGGTGGAACCGCTCCATTCTCATCGAAAAATCATATTGCCAAATGTGGCGCTGTAAATGTGTTTACATGGGGTGCTAATGATTGTAAAATAGATTCTGTTTAAATTGCCCTAATTAGGAGCTAATAAAGAGCATCTGAATTACTGGTCAAATCTGTTCCCTGTCTCCTTATTCTGGCGTGTTGCCAGGTTCAAGGTAGTTATGTCGCAGTTTTTTTGCAGGTAACAGCTCTGTGGTCTTCGCCATCAGAAGGTCTGATAAGTAAGCAGTTCTAACGATCGCAGTAAGGGCGTAAAGCGCTGGGAATAAGCCGTTAGCCGTGCGACAATGGGTGGATGCCACCAATGATCTGTGTCTCAAGTATACTAGTTATGCTGCTCACATTCACAATGTATCCTCTCGCGCTGGATCGAAACCGCCTACGCGACCGTCCTGACGTTCTCGAACTCTATCCAGTCGGTAGAATCTAGGTCCATTAAATCGCCCTCATTTCAGTGGAGTGAAGGTGCCCGTCATGACTCTTGCGTAAGGGCCAGCACTTTGTGCCGGGTACTCCGCACTTGGTTGGCCTGGAGCACTTCCAATCGCAGAGGACGCCAGTGGACTCCCTGCATTTCATCTAGGCTTCATTTATCAACTTTACCGTCTGGTCTGCCTGCATGGTCCTCCGCAGCCTTTCGACCCCTTCCATGCTTTCCCATAACGGTTCACGAAGGGTTCTGCACATTCTTCAAAGCTCAGGAACTTGAATTTCTTCACGTTCAGCAGAAAAGTGCTTTCACCGAGTGCTTCCCGCCAATTTCGCACCTCGCCGTGGAGTTCTTCCCTGCTATCCGCTATCAGGGCGATCTATATGGGTTCGATGCACTCTTCGGAGCTAAGGAACTTGGTCCTCTTCACGTTCAGCCAGAGTCCATCCCAGCGAGCACATCCTGCCACCGCTGCACCTTGTCCTGGAGTTCTTCCCCGATCCGCTTTCAGAGCAATGTCACCGTCGTAAAGGATGGTTTCAGTCACCCTTCCATGAGTTCTTTAGCCATCACATCCGGAATCAGGAGGAAGAGGAACAGGCTCAGGGTTGAACTTGGTGTACCTCAGCCGGATGTCCACCTCCTTTGTCAAGCCGTGTGGAGTGCGTACGCTGCCTCAGCCCCATCGTACATGTCTTCCACTATGCAGACCAGGTGTTTCGGTGCGTGCTCCAAGAGCCAGGGTAGACGGTCGAGCACCTTGACGAGGTCCAGAAAGGCTCAGTAGAGGATCGTCACTTCTCTTGGCCACCCCATTACTTGCCTGACGGGAATGGCATTGTGTAGGTGGATTTTTCGGGCATGAAGCCGAACTCCTACAGCAAGTTTGAGCCAATTTCCTCTGCCTTTGGCTTGACTACTGACCACTCCTACGACACGAGTTCTTTTCCTCGAAACATATCGCTAGGTTGGGCCCATTAATTGCCTCGTTGCGAAAATGTGTACCGATTTCTGGGCGCAGTTTGTCGACGGGGGGGGCATTCTGCTTTCATAGATTTGCCAACCCATCTAGTAGTAGCCTTTTCTCGAGTTGACACGTTTTAGGATGGTGCTAGACGATCTTGCTCCAGCTTCACAAGCGTTCACAAGTTTTACCAGAGCGAGATTTGTAAACCGGAACTAGGGAAGCAATGGTAGTACAAAATGCCTCCCCCCTGTCGACAAACAGCGCCCGATTCTTGTTCAACGACAACTGAGGAACGTATAACGATCCTCCTGATTCCGAACATGTGACCAGAGCGGATTGCGCCTTCGAAAACTTTATGACTAATCATCTCGTTTCGAATTGCCCTTTTGTGGACGGTTTATCAAAGAACATCGAATTCGTCACTTGGCTGTGGTTTACAACGGGATTCTTCAAAAGGAGCAAGCAAAAAAGGAAGAAAAGTTGGGGAAAGGGCAACACTTATTTTTTTTTTTTTTTTTTTTTTTTTTTTTTGTTTTTTTTTATTTTTTTTGTTTTATTTTATTTTTTTTTATACTAGAGATAGTTTCAAAGTTCGTTTGCCAAAGAGAGAAATTAACCATCGTGTAAAAGTGGTTGATTCCCATTTGGCGAACGAATATAGCAGTGCTAATTTTTTATTGCTCGGAGACCGGACTATCGGTATGAGTGATGATCATCATGAACACCAGAGACGATATATAAAATGGGTCTTGTTGTTCTGTGGGAAAACCACATTTACTCGTGAACCGCTCTGCGATACTCTGTCTGATCAAGCTTACCTCTCTTCTGTGAAGTATACACCTCAGCTCTCTGAAACTTGTTTTGGATTACTTTTAGGAGAGTATTACACGATCGGTAGAGCCCTGGCCCAATATGAATAGTCTTGTCGAATATCTAAGAGTCGGTCTCTTTCGCTTTCAACACCGACTGATGAAGGCCCTGCAGTCATCGTTATTCACCCGTGGAAGTCACTTCGCCCATCTGGGAGCGAGATATGAGTTCATTCTGGGTTGCGTTTGTTCTGTACAGAACAGCTAGGTCTCACTCGTCTTCCAGCTCCTCGTGTTCTGCGATCCCTTCTCTGCAGTCTATCGCCCATACATCTGCGTCCAATTGCTTGCCCAATGCCAAAATCTTTGGAACAAGGTCTTTTAAGGACCTCTCCATTTGTTTCCCCCTCTTTTCTTCGTTGAGAGGCTAACTGGCATTTATGAATTCGTATTTGGGCCCTAAAGCCCACCAAATGTAGCAATAGCGAAATGACTCTTCAGATACACACAGGGCATTCGTACGTTGGCGGTTACGGCAAGGGCGGCAGGGTGGCGTATTTAGTAACGGGGGGGGGAGGAGGGGAAGGGGTTGGAAGCACTCGCCTTCTGGGAAAATATTTCGGTCATTGCCTTTTCTCCGTTTTCCTGTCACCGGGACGTGTCCTGAAGGCAGAGCCCGCAGACGTCTGTGCCAACGTCCTAAGAAACCCGCTAGTCGAATCCTCGTTCCTAATAATCAAATAAGACCCCCATCAGTGAAAGTATACACAGCTAAATGATGGTATATTGGACGAGATCACCGGGCGACTGTCGTGCTGGTAGATATGACCTTCGCAATTTAGCCCAGCTGACTTCTGAGCGACTCCCTGCCTTCGTTTTTTGCAGGGTCTTCACCTTTTACGACTCGCGCTTCACATTCGCAAAGCTGTGGGTAGAACCAATGAAGTGGGTTACTCCAATGAGAGGAACGGCAGCTCAGGCTCGTCACTTCCCAGTAATTTTGCGCCGTAATATGGAGCAGACGCTGAGACTGCGGACCAGGTTACTGGCTCACCGAGTTAGCATCGAGTTCTCAGCCACCCGCAGAACGTGCCTTGAAAAGGGTCAGCCTACACAGCGACTTTGCTTTGCACTTTCGCAGCGGAAGTGCAAAATGCCCCCTTCCCCGTTGTTCTTGTGATTATTCTACGGCAAAACTAGACTTTGAAACACGATTTTTCATTTCACGTGTGGGTTGTATGGGTGATATTCCAAGCTGAAAGTTTTTTTTCAGATCAGAAATGAAAGTGTTCATCATTCTATTGCTGATCATCGGCGTTGTGACCGTTTCAGCTCAGTTCGGTAAGCGCTTTTCTGTAATGTTGAATGCCCCTCCTGAGTGCAGAGTGCTGCGTTGGCCAAGTGCCGCATTAACTCATAACTATTCATTCCAACGACCTACCTACTTCCTTTCGACCTTCTCTTGCGAGTCTATAATCAGATTGATTTTAGGTCGTCCACCTTTCGGTCCACCTCGCCCACCTATGCGCCCACCTTTCGGTCGTCCTCCAATGCGTCCTGGAGTAAACCCATATCCCACTCCCCCCCCTTCTCGGCCCTGGCGTCTGTATCGCCCGAAGGGCGTCATTGTATGAGTAAGGTGTATGAGAAGTTTTTCAATGCTTGATCAGCAAGTAGTATGTATTCTTGTGCAGAGAGAGAGGGCGTAACTTTATGCAAATGAACCATCTTACATATTATGATAATTGGTTTCACTTGCTCCCTCGTGAGCTCCGTCAGCCTCAGGGTCAGTACAGGTCTTCATTTCGACCACGGTGTTTCTAGTTTTGCACAAGGAGTTCTCTAAATGCCCCTCCATACTTATTCGCCTCTTTACGTTTATAATCCAAAATAATGGTCTTCAATTCTTTACATATCTGCTCTTAATTACAGAGTGAGACAAATGGGAAAGAAGTTTTCCAGGCATATTAAGTCCGAGGAGACGCATTATCACATTCTTTTAACTACAGAATTGAACCTGCTGAAATGACTGGTTGCTATGTGAATGGTTAAATAAATATATTAAGATTTCTAGCAGACTTTCTCTCCCGTTGGTAGAAACGGATGAAGTGCAAGCCGTCGCACTGAAGCCAAAATTTCGACAGATTTTTTCAAATAATTCAAATCTTCCTATAGACCTGATCCCTGCACGAGTTCAGCATCCTGTTTGGAGGAAAATCACAGAATCGACTGTTCATGTTACGGTGGCCGGTTGAGAATTAGAGGTCCACGAACTTGGTGGGGAGCGCAGTTACACAACTCCTTATCCTGAGCCTTAGAAGTACGGCGTGTCATTTGAACAATGGCACGCGAACTGGTTACTCGTTGGAGACATTCAGTCTGGCCGGACAATGCCACCCATAGACACCTTCAGGTTAAGTTGAAGAATGCAGCCACGCCTACCCGATCTCAGGGATTTCGAGTATATGTGGGCAGTTATCGGTTGAGGCGACCAGAGATGCTCTCCTCGTGCTCTTCGCATTATCTCAGCCCATATCCTGCGAATAAAAGGTCCGTTACCTAGAACGTAGCTGCGATTGCGACGGCGGCTCAAGAATTCAGGCGGAAAACTCAGAGTCGAATGTATAAGAGAAAAGAGCCGGCACCCGAATACGAATACACAGCCGTAGCCGTCTCTCAGCAGTGTACACCCTTCTGAAGACTTGTCCCTTGAGATAGGTTGTTCCCTGGATACCGATATCATATCCGCTTGGCTTGAAACTGCTTGGCCCCCATCCAGGCTCTGGCTCCGGAACCAAGAGGCGAAGTTTGCTGAAGACTTGCCGCAAAGAGCGCTACGTCTACATGGCGCAAAAAAG